TCTACAGGGCCGGCGGAACGGCACCTGTGGGTTTCCGAGACAGTATCTTTTCACACGAGTAGAAAGCCTCATCTTTCTCCTGAGGAGCAACTGGTGGTTTTGAACTGCTGACCTTAAGTTAACGTTTAGCTGCCCGACACATAATCACTCTGCCACCAGGGCTCCAGGCAAGGCAAGTCACGAGAGAAATGGGCAGGGGGAGAAGAAACGGCTTGACAAGTCCATGAAGCACAAACGTGTCGGGTAGGACGCTGTTAGGAAGGGCCTGGTAGAAAAAGCAGAGATTTAGAAATGAAGTGACAGATCCTCGAAGCGACCCCAGCTGAGACCTGGGAGCAGGCGGCCCCAAGCTGGCCTCTGGGACACAAGCCAGCCAGCCCGTCCGCTCCCTGGGTGGGGTCTGGGAGGAGGGGCACGAGGGACTTCACCAAATAGAAAGCTGAAGCAGTAACAGGCCAGGCCCGGCTACCGTTTCAGAGCATGGTAGCTGGGACTGGCATCTCTTCCAACGTGTTCCGGCTAGTCAAAACGTCCTCTCAGAAGTACGCCTGCCTGCAGCCGGCACCAGAGGGCGAGCTGCAGTCCCCCTCCTCCCCTCAGACAGCCCTGGGTGCCAGGGCCTCGCCTGCCCGCTCCCACTGCCGGGCACCCTGTACCTTTCTCGGGAGCGTTGCTTCAAACCAGAACCAACTCTGCCACGAGTCGACGCCAACTGCAAGCTGACTTGTGAGCACGGGGTGCAACGGCCCTGCAGGGCTCCGTGACTGTCCCTCTGCAGGATCCAGAGCCCCGTCTTTCTCCCGCGGAGCTGGCTGGTGGCTGCGAACTGCTGCCCTCGCAGAGCGCAGCTCTGTGCGTCACCACGACTCACCACGCTCCCAGTCCTCCTCGGGGGGATCGCACCTGAGACCCTAAGTTTTGGGGGTGCAGGCCCCTGGGGTGTCCTTGTGGGCTACTTTCTCCCCGCACCAGCCAGGCAGCGCAGATCCAGCGAGGCTTGGGAGGACAAGGAGCTTGGGGGCTGTCTGAGGGTGACACGCCTGGGAGACAGAGAACACTAGGCTGAGAATCAGCCCATCTCCACCACTAATTAGCCGGGTCAGCTTCCACGGCTTCTGGTCTCGGATTCCAAGCCCTCCACAGAGCGCTGGCCCAAGCAGATCCTGCAGCTCACAGCCGCCTGACCTTCCCATTTCTGGGTCAATCTAGCTGAGGGACACCCAGGAAACCCACTGAGGTCTGCTAGGATTGCTGAAAACGCCGTTTCTTTTCATTCAAATGCCCTAACAAGAGTATTAGCCTGAGTTCTCAATGGAACAAGTAAGTATTTAAAACCCCTGTCACCAAAAAATAATAATTTATAAATGATCAAGGGTTCATGAGGGAGGGAGGGGGAAAAATGAGAAGCTGATAGCAAGGGCTCAAGTAGAAAGAAAACATTTTGAGAATGATGATGGCAACAAATGTACAAATGTACTTGACACAATGGATGGATGGATGGGCTCTGCTAAGAGCGATACGAGCCCCCAATAAAATGATTAAAAAATAAATAAATAAAAATACTACCCCCATAGGGTTGGTCCTGACGACTGGCGACTCCAGGTGTGACAGAGCAGCACCGGGTGGGCACCAGGGGTTTGCCTGGCACTGGACCTGAAAGGGGGGCAATCACAGGGCTTTCTTCCCTCAGCGCAGTTGGCAGTGTGAGCCGTAACCAGCAAAGCCATTTCCCAGTTTCCCACGGAAAGTAATTCATGCAATGATGCCCCTACTGCCTTCACCAAACGCTTCCTTCGACAATCCTTTTCTGGCAGCACAACATTCCAACAAAACTCTCTTGGAAACACACACACAAAAGCCCTGACGCACACCCACCCTACAGAGCAGAGGGGATCGGCCCCCAGCCTCCGAGGCTGTCAATCTTTCCAGAAGCAGGCTCCACAACGTCCTCCCGAAGACTGGGTGGTGGAGACGAACTGCCGGTCTTTAGGTTAACAGTATGATGCTTAGCCCACGCTGCCACCCGGGCGCCTAAGACCAGGGAGGGCATCAGGTCACACCAGCAGCGCGTGCACCACGTCCTTCTCCTCACCAAGCCCACTGCCAGCGAGTCAATCCCAACACCAGGGACCTGTGAGGACAGAGGAGAACCACTCCGGGGCTTCCGGGGTGGTACATCTTTGTGGGAGCCGAGGCTTCATCTTCCTCCCGCAGAGGGGCTGGTGGGTTTGACCCGCTGACCTTGCGGTTAGCAGCCCAACGCTCCTGTGAGTCAGGGCTGGATCCACCTACTGACTATCTCTGCCCACCACTTGGCATGCCCCTCTGCTGCAGCAGCCAGGTGCCCCGTTCATGAAGTGCGTTCAGCGCACGAGGTTTCCACACACGTGGACCTGGTCTCCCCCTGTGGCTATTCCCCTGCTCCTGGCTCTGAGCATGAACTGAGAGGAAGTGCCCAGGGTAACTCGGTAGCTCCATCACCGCAAGGAAAACAGAGCACGAGGCAGAGTGGACACTGAAGATCGTCTGTTGTTCAGTGACAGTGAGACCAAGGGGCCGCGACCTCACACACAGACACGCACCAACAGTCCCGCTCCTCTCCAATGCTGGAGAGGGAAACGCAGCATTTCATCCGTAGATTAAAATAAAGATGTTTTACAAAGAGTCCCCAAACCCAAGCCCTGCTTCAGGAAGTGACTCCATTTTAAAAGACCAGGGGAAAGCAGGGCTTGGGCCAGTGGACTGAATTCAAGTTCTTCTGCAAGGGCATGAATGAAACGGTCAGAGGCAACCGCTGGGCGGCAGTGAACACAGGCTGTGTGGGCGTGGTGATCAAAGACCCTCTCCTTAACCCTCAGGCAGGCGGGCGGCCAGCCGGCCAGCAGAGGCCTCCTGAGCTGCAAGCTTTTCAGGCCAATAAGGGTTCCTGAGATATGCTGCCATGTACTCTGTGGCCGGGCCTTGGGGCCTCCATTCTCCTCCTGGTGCTGCCCAGCCTCCGCAAGCCAGCGCTGTGCTCTCCTTGCTACAGTGCCCCTCCCGGCCCTCGGTCCATCTCACCAGCTCCCACCAGCTGAGAACTCCGCAAGGGTGAGGTCAGAGCCCCCCCAGGCTGGCCAACAGCCTACATGCTGGGTCCAGAGGGAAAAGATGAACCAGATCAAGTTTCTCTCAAGGGATGACCGAGGGCACGTGACGAGCACCGGCACTCAGAACCAGAGGGGAGTGCCAGGAGAAACACCATCAAGTTGAACTCAGGTCACAGGGGTCGGCGCCAGCGGCAATAGCACTCCGGAACCGAGCCCGGGGGCAGGGGCAGAGGGGAGAGGTTCAAGCTCAAAGCCAACGGTGCCTTCCAGGCACACCTGCCACTGGGCCTCAGAGCGGGGGCTACCCCCTCCCACCCGGCTCCCCAGCGGGCCGGCCCAGCCCACATTCCTGGATTTCTGCAGGATTCTATCTCTTACCACCACTGGCCCAACAAGACAGCACACACAGCACATGACAACATTAGGGAAACAGGTCTTCCCCAAAGGCATAAACCTAAGACACTCTCAGTCCTGGCCAAACCTTACTTCGGGAAGCTGAAACACGGCCCAACCTTCCCACCATGAACAACTCTTGAAACAAGACAGGGAGCCTCCTGGACTAGATGCTGGGCGAGGTCTGGGCAAAAGACTCCCGTCAAAACCAGTCAGCTGAGCACCCAATGCGCAGCCTGCTCCTCTGGTGGGCAGGGCGTGCCCGTGCACAGAGCTACACAAAGACACCAGAGCGAAATCCAAACTCCCCAAGGGCCGGAGAGGCCCCTGCAGGTGTCTGCGTGCTGAGCTCTACCTGGTTCAGCAACCTACCGTACCATCGGGATACTCGCCCACACGCAACAGGGC